AAAATGAAGCAGCATTGGGACAGAGAAAGACGGTTCCTATCATCTGATCCTTGATAATTTTCCATTATAGAAACTGCGAACAATGGAGCTGATTCACCATGAACCAGAAACTCTGTGCAAACTAGGTCAACAAATTATTGATATTCGCCATGATTTTTCCTGTTAGCCTCAGTGCCAAGTTTCTTCCAAACACAGACAGCCAACTATAACCCTAACAAAATCTTGCACGAAACAAGTATCATAATAATCATCTGCTTCAAAAATAGTCTCACCTGATCGGGAGCTTTTTTGAATGGTATTGTGAGGTTATCATCCTTCAGCTTAATTTCATCATTGTACCCAAATTTCCTTAACACGGTCCAAGTGGTCTCAAGTCGACCCTTCTCTATAAAAAGTGCATGAAGAAAAAGAAACCCTGTCAATGTAAGGCCCAGGTCATTTACACCTTGAGGTAGCTTCTCCTGTACTACTCTTTTGACACCCACTATCTCAGCGGGCTGCAGCGGAGCATTGAAGCACTTAATCTGCCAATTTTGATGGAAATAAAAAATAGAAAAATGCTAGATAATAAGGTTTCTTGAAAGAAAGTAATCGAGTGTTTTAATAAACTCGAGGACTACAAAATGAAGAATAACCTGAAATTCATTAAGCTCTTCATCATTGAGAGCGTCATCCATGTCATGATCACAAAGAATAAATATCCGTTTCAGTGCTCTAACACAACAGGGTTTAAGAGCCTGAGTTTCATGATCAAAGAGTGGAGCCGTTGGATGAAGTACAGCTTTCTGAGCATAATAAAACACTTCAGGTACCTGTAAAGGTTAAAAGAATATCATTCTGTTGAACTAAAAAACCTTTGCAAGAAAAAATCCCTAGTAAGAAGTTGCACCCACCTGAACTAGGTTTGCAGCAGAACATTCTATGCAAGTCTCAATCTCGCGGAATTGTTGCATGATTGGAGCCATCACTTGCTCAAGATTCATATGATGCTCCTCATCTCGCTTATCTAGCTTACAGCCAACAACAATTACCGGCACCTTGATCTAACCATGGTAATTAAAGTGATTAAATGCATAGAAGTCATATTCTCATTTATCAATGCAGACTATAGAATTATCCATCCAAAAAAATTGCACTAAATTACTTCCCATAAAAATGATACTTGAACGACTATATAATAGCATGAAATAAAAACCAAACAACACTTTCTAGGAAACAACGCCACAGTACTAAAACTAACTCATGAATACATAGGCCTAATAATAATACAGTATTCAATCCATTTAGAGCAAAACCACTTAAACTATTCAGGAATTAGCAAATTTTGGCCAATATTTTTAAATGTGTGTTTTACCATTCCAATAGGAAGATATTCAAATTTTTTGTTTGATTTGAAAATATCAAAAAAGAAAATAATAGAAGAATGAACAAAAATATTTTTCAATTTAACTATATTTACAATGAAAGTAAGGCACACAAAATTGGACACCTCTAAGCGACGGAACTCATAAAGCCAGAAAGTAGTCAAACGATTGAGTGTAGAAGGCTGATCGCAAGCATAGGTAAGGACAACAGCATCGGCTCGCTTCAATTCTTCAGCAACCTTACCTCTGCTCTCCAAACTACATATCATCACATACATCAAAACATTGATAACATGTAAACAACAAATCAACTCTTCAAAATCCAAAATACACAACACGAACCTTGAGGAAGTATCAATGATCGTAACAGGAACATTATCGGGATAGAGATCGGCAGGAAGTCGAGTCGGAGGAAGTACCGGTGGAACTTCCTCCGCAAAAGTTTCACTAGCGGCAGCTGTAATGAGGCTTGATTTGCCAGTAGCACGGTCGCCGACGACGACGACACGGACGTTAGTACGGCCACTGGAGATTGAACCGCCGAGCATTTGAATGAGATATGGTAGATTTGACACTGCAAAATGGGAATCAAATCGAATCGAATCAAATAAAAATATATCAGTCACTTACTATTTTGTTCCTCTGTGGAGGAGGAGTTTTCTGTTGCTTTTAATGGAGGATGTGTATGTATGATTGAGGTGTACAACTACTATATGGAATTAGTGGGAAGGTAACTGTCGAGAGTCTAATCCATGGCGGATGGGTATTTTTTTAGGAATTGGGCTACTAGCCCACTATGAAAATCTTGGCATAAATAGCCATTTAGTATCAAAACCCTTGTTTAAGTAATAGCCAAATATGTTAAGATTTAAAATTTTAATCACCTCACGATTGAACTTTTATAATTGGGACACTTTCACATATAGCCACTTAAAAATAACTAACTACTCTTTATAGCTATAGTTTGATAATTATAATTTGTAGCTACATGTTATATGAAGGAAAGAGGCGAGCGAGACTGGGAGAGAGAGAGGAGAGAGGCGAGAAAGAGGGGGGAAAGAGTGGGAAAGAGGTGAATTATATGTATATTGGTTAGATAATTGTATATTATACATATGTATTTGTATATATGGCAAGAGAGATTGAGAGAGGAAGGAGAGAGGCGGGCGAGACTGAGAGAGAGAGGAGAGAGAAGAGTGATATCGAGAGAGGAGAGAGAGTGGGAGAGAGGTGAATTGTATATGTATAAAATTGTATATAACTATATATTATACATATACATTTGTATAAATGGTAAGCGAGATTGGGAGAGGGAGGAGAGAGGCGAGCGATTGAGAAAGCGAGGAGAGAGGCGAGCGATTGAGAGAGGAAAGAGTGTGGGAGAGAGGTGAATTATATATGTATATAAGTTAAAAATTGTACGTTATACATATTTATTTGTATATCTTGGCGAATTATACATATACAAACATGACTAATCATACAAACTCGAACACAGACCACGTAATTAATGTATAATGTTAGTCGCAAGTGGTAATTATAACAAACTATAGCTATGATGAGTAATTAAATAGTATAAGTTTGTTTAACTGCGTAATTTTCCCTTTTTACTTTGCCCATTTCTTTAATATTTTTTGTTTGACTTGACCAAAGTGTGACATGTTAATTCATAAGTATTGTGAGGAAGCGCTTGTTACTTACACGACATGATCGGATGAGGTCACAATTCACTCAATACAATTATTCGGGATAAACGTAAATTTGGAGTTTCAACTCATAAATATAATTCTATTCAGACCTTCCATGAAAGTTAGGCTCTAAGATATCATATTTTTATTTTTAGCCGATCAAAAGATTCATATGGAAGTTTTGAAGTTTAAATTTCTTACTTTAGCTTCTAAGTTTTTTTCTTCTTCTTTTGATATATTGCAAAACACAAACAAAAAAAATAAAAATATGCGTGTATTGCACTTCTTTGCCATGACAATGAAAAGTGTCTAATAGATATTTATTTTGAATAATAAAAGTGTTCAATAGGTACTATCTCAATTAATATGTCTAAGTGAATTATGCAAGCAATTTTGATACACTCAAAAAGAAGAAAAAGTTAATGCTCCTCTATTTCATCTGTTTTAATTGCTTTTGTTCATCTTTTTTTATTTGCTATATCCTTTTCTTTTATAATAACATTTCACACATAAATAAGAGATAATGTATTGTAGTGATTGTGGTTGTTCTATCTTAATTATATCACATGAAAAATATAGTATGAATTAGCATTTAATTTTCGTTTGATTTTTATTCGTTTTTCTTTATTTTTTTATTTTAAAAAATGTGCATTGAACATGGAACTAAACTAATTCGGTTCATTTTCTCAATTTCAATTTGGTTTAGTTCAACATTCTTAAAGATTTTCTATGTGAATTTAACTATTTGAATATTAAATCTAATCTTATTCGTTTATGGATAATTTAACTACTAATTAACTTTTACTATTTTTTAATGGCAAAATGTAATAGACTTTTCTACTTGTATGTGTTTATATTCTAAATTCTTCTACTTGGCTGTTTGTCAATTGAATCCTTAAAATCAATGAAACCCTATGTTTTCTGACCTTCTGACTGTTGACTAAGTTTAGATGACAACTTAACTATTGAGTTGGCACAAATGCGTGATGGCACGCATAAAGGAAGCGTAAAACATAAAATTTTAGACAAAAAATATTTTTTATTCTTTTTAAAAATAGATAAAAACTAATAAAAATAATTTCTTTTTTTCAGTTCTTTCTTCTTTAATTTCCCACCCACCCTTGACCCATTCCCATTTTTTTTTTCTTTCTACTCTCAAACCCCCATTTCTCTTCCTTCTCCCCTTTCCGTTCCTTTACAATTCTTGTTTCTCTCTTCTTCTTCTTCACATTTTCTCCCTATCGGATAGTAGATTTATATTTTCTTTTTATTTTTTGAGGCAATTATAATCCATAAAGTGATAAAAATTTAATAATCTTGAAAAATAAAAAGTGATTATTGAATGTCTTTGTGAAATTAGGTGAAATTTGTTATGTAAAATAATATTAGAGTATATTGATGTATTTTAATGGCTATTTGTTAACATCAATGAGAAAAAGAAATTTATGATAGTTCAAGTTGTAGATGTGAATATTGGCAAAAAAAAATACGATTGAAAGTTGTGAATGAAAAAATTTTTGGAAAAGAAAATGGAATGATAATGTTAGCTATTTAAGAATGTAATGATACTACTGAAAATGAAAAGTTCCGGTGGTATCTCAAATGTAAAAAAATGGAGAGAGGTGAATTTATGAAAGAGGAATGAAGTGAAAAAGAAAGAAAAATCAATCTTTTTTTTAAAAAAAATCATAAGAAATGAAGAGTCATTTAAAATGTGACATGGACAATGATATGTCATTTTTGTCAAGTGTTTGAAGTTCACACAGCGAAAGAGAATGGTCCATAATACAAACTTATCTATAGATCATTCTGTCTTTTTTTAATTAAAATACCAAAATCCATAGCTAAACATCAAATCAAAGAATTAAACTTTTCTTTTAAATATACCCACCTGATTATAAATGTGACTTTTCAAAAGAAGTCCTGACTCTAAACTTCCACATTCCCCCCCCCCCCACCCCAACTCACTGTAACTATCTCCAACCCTTTTTCCTCAACCCTTTACCAAATTTTCGGGGCTTTTTTCTCCAACTAAACAATGAAGAATGAGCGGATATTTATAAGGGGAGATTTAGGGCAGAAAGAGGGGGAAACCGATTGAATTTGAATTTCAAATTTGAATTCTCTTTAAGGAATAAGGTTACCAGCTCGAAAAATTGTATACCTCTTCAGCAGACTAATAATCGCAGTCGTTCGATTTCTAATGAGAGGACAAAGGCGATGGGATATCTCGACACCTGGATTCCGTGCAAACGGATAAGGAGAGAGGGAGAGGACGACGCCCTAGGCTGCTAGACTCACGCTCTGATTTTCATTTGGAGTTGGACGCGATTTTTTTCGTTATTTATGACCACTCATAAGCATAAACCCACACGAATATTTTTTTCTTTGCTATTTATGCCCCTAAAACCCACGCACTAATATTTTTCTCCAGTCGGTCTTCTATCTTTGTGACCTTTCTTGCTCGGCTATCTCTCACTCTCAACAAAAATACAAGCCAGAGAGAGCTTCTCTCTTCGTGTTTGGAGTGAGTTGTCGAGCTCCTTTTACCTCTCAGTTCCATAACTGAACCTCCGTCGATTGCCAAGTGCGACGTTTTCAGGGGTTTGTACCCTTCATTTTAATCTTTACCTTTTTTTTTTGGACTATTTGACATCCTATATTGGAAAAGCAATGAGATAAGGATTTGAGCAATTTTGATTTCGGAGCTCAAGGTTTAGAGATTCAAGTTCTGCCATGGAAGCCGCTATTCTCTGTTCTTATACACCGCTTTCCACAACGGCGGACCTTAGGATTCGAGGCAAGTCTGTATACTTTTTTTTCTTTTTTCGCTCTTTTTTGTTTTCAAATTAATCACCGGTTAGTCTTTGCTGGATTTATTGTTAAAACTACGAAATGTTAGAAGAAAATTAAGTAAATGGCTTTGCCATTAATATTCTATTGTGTACTTATTTGTTTAGCATAGTATTGTTTTCCTCAATTATGGAATGAGTGTCACATGCACTAAAGTTAATTTTCCGATAGAGACATTGATTGCTCTCTCTCGTGTGCGTGTGTGTAATGAAGGGAGATTATAACCAGCATTGATAAAGGAGTTCACTCCCTTCTTGCAACAAATTATAGAAACAAAAGAGAAAACAATGAAGGGCAGGGGATTCTAGATTGCACTAAGTAAACAAAGAAGAAACCAAAGATGACAAGTATTATGTACCCTATCAATGTGGTTTTGATAGAGCTGGCTTGAGATCATGTGTTCTGCAGTGTTGACTCATTTTCAACTGAACAAGATATGAAGAGAGCTGAGCAAATAAGTAGGTTAACTGGAGAACAAAATAATTTCTTCACAATCACAACATACTCTGCTGATATAAGACAACTATCTTTCGCTTCAGCTTTGGTTTTAAATAAATTAGATATTACTGGTTTTTCCTATTAAAAATATGTTACTATTACTTTAGTTTGATAAATTGTGAGGCCTTCTTTGTGTTTCTAGAATTTAATGATGCATAACTGAAGGAATGTTCTAGTAGGGTATATTTGTTACACTAGAATGCTCCAAGATCAGATTTTGAAACTCAATATGTATGTAAATTGCGAAGCAGCTGATCTCTTTCATGATCTACTCTTCTTTAAGTGAGCTTTCCAGGTTCTGTTTAGTTGACATAACTTTACTTGGCTTGAGGGAGTTATCCTATAATTACAATTATCATTACAGCACGTTTACAAGAGGATGTAATTATGTTAATACCTTCCTAGGAAAAGAAATTGGTAGAATTTTTAGTTTGGTTATGAATTTTGCGTATTTTGGACTGGACTATATATACTAGAACTCTTTCTTTTGCCATATACAAATTGTGGCAACATATAACTTGGATTATGTGCCAATCTTAACAAACCTAAAGCATATTTATTTGTTTCATCATCCTATTACTCAAGCTCTATGTTGCTCTTGCTGGTAGAAACACATTTAAGACCAACTTTTTTTTACTTTTGACTAGCAGGAAAGTTTGCTGGATGTAATCTCCACTTCTATAATTTGCCACTGAACAGAATACACATTCCTCTCAAGTTAAAATTTTCTGAATCGAGTAGAAGGCACTTTTCTTCACGCAAGGGGCTGATATTGTCTCATGGAAAGAAAGAATTGTCCAGCTATTTCACCCATCAACTTTCAAGCGACTATACAAGTATCAGGGCAGCATCAGGAGAAACACTACATTATGGACAGTCTTCATCAGTGAGTGAAGATGAGGGAGTGTCACTAACATCTACAGATGCCAACGAATGTGTGTCTTTGCAGCCTAAGCAGAAGCAATTTAGAAATAGATTCTTGAACTTTGTAAGACTGGGTTCCGTTGTTGATAATGCTGCTGAGTCTTTTTTCAAGAGTGAGATAAGGAGAAGGCTGTTTATGACTGCCATCTTAATTGTCATTAGTCGTATAGGATATTTCATTCCTCTTCCAGGATTTGACAGGAGGTTGATTCCAGAAGACTATCTCAGCTTTGTCTCGAAATCAGTTGGTAAGTTGTCGCCTTTTAATCTAGACGGATTGTTTCCTAGTTAATTTAGATCAGTTTTGAAGTAAGTTGGTTGAGCTTATTGGTTCTTCAAACTCGCTGAATGGAGTTTTCTCCCATGTAATTATTAATAAACCGTCCTTGCAGATCAACTGGGTGATTCCACTCCAGAACTTAAACTTTCTCTTTTCCAACTTGGGGTCAGTCCTCAGATAGCGGCATCCATTCTTATGCAGGTCAGCTTGCTTTCACCAGATATAAATTTTTCGAACCAGGATATCAAAATTTGGCTTATTATATTATGTGAAAAGAAGTTTTTGTTTCCATGTTTTGCTTAAGTAAATATATTTGTTGTGTCGGACCACCAGAGGGATGTACCAGAATAGCATTTCTTCAGAAAGTGAATTACAAAGATCTTTTTGTGGACCTACCTTAGTATGTACTATACAAATGTGAGGTGAAAAAATGTAGTTGAGTTCCCATACGTGCACCACTGGCCCTTAGGAAATTCTGGCGTATAAAAAGTTAGGAGGAGAAATTCTAGGCGAAAAATGCCTAAACAGCATCTGCATCTATCAAAGTGATTTCTATAAGAGATTTAAGGGATCCTGGAGGCAGAAATTATCTGAGTTGGATCTAAGTCACCAAGTAAAATAATTATCAGATTTGGATCTATAAAAAGGAGAGGTTATCATTTGAGTTAGGTAAAGTGAAAATAACTGCTAAATTTGCTGTTCAAGATAATAAGGAAAGGTATTTGAACAACAACGGTAATCATACTTAGTGAGTGCCCCCTTGCAAAAGTGCCTTATCCGTTCGTCCAACATCATTTTTTTAAATTCATATTTGTCGATTTGCGTAGCCATTTTACTGAAGGGTTTTATCTTCCTAAAAATAAAAGGAGTTCTTTAAAAGTATTTTTATAGAGGTGGAACAAAATATGTTTGCTCTTCAGTTGATTGATATTGTTGCTGAATGAGCAAGTGATTCATGTGTCCTCCTGGTTTGAGAGACCAAGGCATATGAAATTGTTGGATTTAGCCTTCTGTTGATGCCTCAATTTGTGCTAAACTAGTGAATGCCAACTTCCCTGTACAGGTATTATGTCACGTTCTTCCTTCTTTAGTGAAGCTGAGAAAAGAGGGCTTAGATGGGCATGAGAAGATCAAGGGTTATATGTATGTCTAGTTTTTCATCTCAATAAGTGAGATGGATTGTTTCTTTACTTTGGTGGTCAATTTTTTTTTTCATCACAAACTTGCACAAGCTTATGAAACTTTGGATCTATTTTAGATGGTGGATCTCGCTTGGTTTTGCAATTTTGGAAGCTCTTATTCTCTCTTGTCACTCACTTCCATATTCAATATATGCTGCCAATCATAGGTAAGAAGTACAATTTTTTCGTGTAATAATCAATGGGAGCATACTTTTGCTATTTTCATTTTCATTCTACACAAAAGGTCACTATTATTTTTATTGTGTAATTTGAGAGTTCATTTTCCAGTAACATCATTCTAACTCCATTTCTTCCAAAAGGTCACAAAAATTGTTCCCGTTCCACATTCTCAACAATAGTATACTCAGTGAAATCCCACTGTGGGGTCGGGGGAGGGTAGAGTATAGCATACCATACCCCTACCTCGTGGAGGTTACTATTTCCGAAGGACCCTCGGCTCGAGTACACATATCAAAGTAGGCATGAAAAAAAGAAAAACGACATTTGAAGAAAATAAAGCAACTAATAAAGAAACAATGACGACCACATAATAGTGCAATAACCTAGACACAATACACAACCGTCGATGATGGAATCATATCAAGATATTATAAGAATATGGCTTAACCCCTTGAAAAGCAAGACTACTAACATTCTACCCTAATACGTGACCTCCACACCCTTCTCAATGCTTTTTCAGCTTACCTCTACCTCTCCTTGTACCCACTATATTCAACTTCTCGCACCTCCTCGCTGGGAGCATCTGTGCATCTCTTCTTCACATGTCCAAACGGTCTTAGTCTTTCTCCCCCCCATCTTGTCCACCACGGAGGCTACTCCCACCTTATCCCAAATATCCTCATTGATGATCTTATCTATCCTAGTGTGTCCACACATCCATCTCAGCATCCTCATTTCCGCAACTTCCATCTTTCAAAAATGGAAGTTCTTGATTGGCCAGCATTCTGCCCCAACAAAATTGGTCCAGCCACCACTCTGTATGCTATTTGTGAATGACATAGCACTAATTGATGAGACACACAATAGAGTTAAGGCTAGGTTGGATATATTTACATCTTTCACAGTTGAGAGGGTTTGTAAATTATTGTTCCTCATCCCCAGTTGTTTAGGCCAAAGTTTTTTCATGCTGTTGATGTATTATTTGCATGATGTTGGCCGAAATTAGTACCACTCAGAATGACCTTCATTTTGCTGCAGGGTTAAGCATGTGTTCATGACTATGTCTCTTTTAGTTTCTGGTGCAATGACTATGTCATGGATCTGCGACAAAATAACAGAGTCTGGATTTGGTATTTATTTCCTTCGGTGATTCTTTCTGTATCTTAATTTTCTTTTCTTCCTTTTTAAACATCTCTTAGAATTCTAATTCAACTTTTTCCCCCAATTTTAGGCTTTTTCCTGTTAGTCTGTTAAAGACAAAGATCCTTGTCCCTCCGAAAAAAGAATAGAAATGGAGTTGCTTGGGGAAGAGTTCAAAGAAATGGTCAATAACCTTTTGAGTTTTGCCAATTGTGTTGAAACTTAACTTTAGGGGACGCGGATCACGTTTTGTGACCAAAAAGAAAACTAGGCCCGTTTGATTGAAACATAAGGAGTAGTAAACTAGTGAAATGATGACTCTTTTTTATTCTGATGAAAGTTAGTATCACTCGCTGTTGAAGTTGTTATGGCATACTTGTGGCAGTCCTATTATAATTCTTCTGCTCGAACCCGAGATTGTAAGAATTTTGAAGAATTATGTAATTGACTAGAATTGGTTGACCCCAATTTGGCTTGGATACTTGCTTGATTTATTGATGTATTTGAGGAATTATGTAACTGGCTGAAAATTAGCTGACCCCAGTTAATTTGGTAAGGGAACTTAGTCCATTGATTGATGTAAGTTATAACTGAATGATAAATTTGGTTAGTACTTCCTTTTTTGTTTCCTGCTCTTCCCTTTTATGTTTGCTGACGACTAATGGGGATGGTTCAGGTCAAGGATCAACTTTGATTATTTGTGTGGGCATTTTGACTGGCTATACAGATACATTGCAGAAAATGTTAACTCAAATATCAGGTGGGTTACAAATGAGATACTGTAGCTTTTTAATTTTTTCTGATCATTTTACTCTACTGGTAAGGATATCAGCATGCTATGTCTGAGAATTGATCCCTTCTTCTGTCCCGAACCCATTTTAAAGTTGTGGAGTTTGGTCATGATCCGAGAAATAGTCAGAAGTACATAACAATATAATTTGATACAAGTATTGCATAGTCCAGTCCCTCTAAATTGTTGATTAAAGTTCCCTTTCTCCTTAACATATACAGAAAGTAGTGGGAACTGGTGGCTCTATGTACTTGGAGTACTGGGTGTTTTTACTGTCGTTACAATGTGGGCTGTCGTTGTGAGTGAAGGGTGCCGGAAAGTTAAGCTGCAGTATTATGGTTTCAGAGTTGCTTCTGGTGCAAGGTGACTTGAACCCTGAATTGCTATGGATTGTGCATTTTCTTTTTATTGGAAGCCAGATTTTCTGTTGAGTATTTTGAAAGCTTCATACGCATATTATATGTATCTTAATGCTTATGTAAATGTTTTTACAAGCTAAGATTTCGGGGGACAGAGAACTCTACTTGAGTAACAAGGGAATTTTAAATTTAGAACCGGGCAATACTATAGTGAAATCTTATGATGGAATTTTAATTACTGCTGTAACTGGAGTTATATGTAGAGTGGAAATTTCTTTATCAAGGAATTATTGAGTAGCTCAATCATTGACTATCATAAATGCATCTAAACTCTATTATGTTTGTACTTCTCCCGATTGAAGCTTTCATGTGCATGCAATACTGAAGTAGCTGCTTTCTCTTGCATGCTTGATCATGTGTAAGTGAGTGTGAGTAATAAAAAGAATATTACTGCACGCCGTCATTAATATATTTGTATGCTCAAGGCATGTACTTGTCCACCAAATGGGAAAAGTTTGTGACTCTGCTTGAGTTTGTAGCCTTCTAGGACAAGATTGAACTATTTTTTTTCACTTAATTGACATTTCATGTTTGAAGAGAAAGGAATTTGCCTTGGTTTTGTTGATGATAAAACATGTATGGCTTGTGCCTGACGACTGCCTGCCATGTAAGTATGGATACATACACACACACATTCATACAAGTATTCACACTCACGTATACAGAAAGAGACTGTCCAGTTGTTACTTGTGAGAACCTGAATAATTGAGTTGGAATTAGATTTTTTATTTGTCTTGATTTGACTACAATTTATATTTGTACTACCTTTTTTTTTGAAACTGGAACTTTGTATATTTTTCAAAAGACAGTACTAAGACTGTACTAGTCAATAATTACAACATGTACTTCAAATCCTACTATCTTTTACTAAATTGAGTCTAGTACATCAATTATGGAGATAGTAGCATTTGAGGATAACTGATTACACCAAAACATAGTACTAAAGTGAGTCAATTACATCAATTTGTACTGCCTAAGAAGTCAGTTATGGTTGAATTAAGTTTTTTTTTTTTTTTTTATACAGAGATATATTGTACTCATTTGGGAATAGCATATTATATATTGGCATCTGATTTAAGTTACTCATCTTGAGCAGAGAAGATTCTCTAGTTCCAGCCGTGGAGCCTTATATCCCATTCAACATAAATCCAGCAGGAATGCAGCCTATCCTTGTTACCTCTTATCTGTTGGCACTTCCCGGCATTCTTGCAAGGTTACTTTATATTCATCTAAATTAGATTACAGTCACATCACTACTTTAGTGGTTATTTGCGTATAAAATATAAAACTTCAGTGGTTCTTTACCAGTGTTTTGGAAGTTGGATCTTACCTACATCAGTGATATGGAGCCATCATTCTACCTGAGCTTCAGTTGACTCAGTTTTTTTTGAGGTTTTCAGCTACAGATTTCTGACACATACTTCCTTTGGCAGTCTTCTTGGTTCAAGGTTTTGGGAACACATTAGAGACGCTTTGAATCCTGACACTTCACATGGCGCAGATCCATGGGTTTACTATACAGTTTATGCTTTCTTTGTCTTTCTCTTCAACATATTTGACATTGTAAGTTTCCATTAACTTAGCATGTAGAAGTAGATTTTTAAATGTTACATGCACAATATTTTTTCCTTGAAGATTGCTGTTCAATTGGAGTGGATAGAACATCAATGGAATCAATTCAATACACTAGGTCCTTTTTAACAAGGATGTTTCTGGACTGAGAAGTTTCTACCTATTCCCTTGGATGTAAAGGTGAATAAAATAAGTAAAAGATACAGAGACTTGCTGGTGAGTTTATGATGTTCAGGGCTGAGGTTGGGAAAATAGAAACTGAAATCAACCTTTTAAGGTTACTAATTAGGTAGCCAGGAAGTCAAAAAGGATAGAAGATCACACAAGGCTGAGGTTTCTCTGAGTAATAGTAGTGGGAGAAAGAGTAGTCATTTTAGGAAAGATGGAAGTCACTTAGAAAAATTATTAAAAACTGATTATTTGATGTCAATCTCATATCAATTTCTATGCTTCTGTCACTTGAAGAAAGAAAAGTTTTTGAAAGGTTTTTAGGGATATTATCTCTTGCTCAGTTTTACTTAACGGTAAACTTGTGACCAGGCAAACATGCCAAAAGAAATTGCTGATTACTTAAACAAGATAGGTGCTAGAATTCCGAGTATAAAGCCTGGAAAAGCCACAATTGCATATTTGACAAAGATTCAAGCTTCAACGCGATTCTGGGGTACATATCTTCTCTCTCTCTCTCTCTAAACCTATATTTCTTGTTTGTGCAATTCACTAACATGGTACTTTTCTTTTCTATTTTATTTTATTGGATTGTTGTATAGGTGGTCTGTTATTAAGTGTTTTGGCGACTACATCCTCCATTCTAGACCATTATTTGCGGCGCATCAATGAAGGATATGCAATAGGATTGACATCAGTGCTAATAATTGTAAGTTCTGGGTTTTATGGCATGCATAGTTTCTTTCGGAGCACACACAAGTTCCTCTCCCTCCTGCCAATAGGCTCTCTACCCAAAGGTTCAGGGAAAAGCAAATGAAAAAATAGGAACAAAAAGAATGTGTGTGGATACCTTAACTTGATCTTTTTTGACATTAGTACTAGTGATTGTAGGTTCATGGTTTTCATGCATGAGTAGTTGCTCTCCGAACACACACAGATCTCCCTCGCTCCCCCACTAGTTAGGTTCTCTAACCCCAAAAAGAGCATGATGCAGGTGCCTTTACTTAATCTATTTCAAGCCGATTTGATTAGCAAACAACTCTTGCTTCTACTCATCTTATTCTATTTAGGAACTAATTGAAGAAGGGAAATGACTGGTGTTATCTTTAAATGGATTCCTCATTCTCTTTTAAGCAACCAATAAGTGTTGAACACTCTCATTATGCACTTGAAATTGGTCTCATCTTGTTCCTTGGATAAGCTAAATGTCTCATCAATTGTCCAGCATTGGCATATACCTACTGTTGGATTGCTCTATAAGAGAGTTGGATCAATATTCAGTCAGTCGGAAGTTCTCCCAATTCACACCCAAGTCCATTTTTTCTTTTTAATACGACTGGTACTCCATGAATTGATCCTGAGCCAACTGTGCAACAATCATCTCTGGTCCTCCAAATATCTCCTTAACCCTATTTTAACCCTCCATGATACTATATATGTGGTATGGATTCAACTCCTCAAACGGTAATTGTCTCTATGCTGTGTGGGCTATCCAGAATTGTATCACTGCAATCTCTTAGTCTTGTCAATTCCTTCTAAGAGGAATGTGCCTGTAGTTACCTGCTCTACATTTTGATATATATGCAGAATGTTCTTGTAGTTATCTGCTTTATATTCTGGTTTACATGCATCATGTTGTAAAGCTATATTGTAAATAGCAGGGAATCCACTCCCTCATCTTTCAGGAAAATTTAATCCTCTGTCCATTGCGATGTCATAAAGTAATGTATTTATATTGTGGGGTTGCTTGGTAGAATATTATAAGCTTAGCAAGGTAAATATGAAATTTTACTACTGTTTCAAAGGATTTGTTGGAAAACATGGTTTAACAGTAATGAAGTAATTCACATGATTTTTGAGTCCACTATGAGGGGATATCTATTCCATATAGCAAAGGAAGTTAACTGCAACTGAATCCACGAGGAGGTAATATGTAATTATCCCGTTAACTTATATAGGGCAAGTTTTTCAGGTAGAGAACAAACTCAGATTAAAAGATGAGTTGTTTTTCTGAGGTTGTCTGGTAATTTTTATCAACCTAGTAGAAATTATTACTATTATACTCCTGGGAATGTAGTAGAATGGTCATTGTCTTACATATGTCGTACTGAAATATTTCTTCTTCCTGCCTTCTGCTTTGCAGGTAGGTTCAATTATTGAATTGAGAAGATCTTATCAAGCATATAATGTAATGCCAAGTCTAAGTATGGCTTTGAAGCGTTATGGTGTATGAGATTGGAGTGTGGCTCTATTCGAGGTATATCTACGGTGTCATACATGGTACATGGTCTATACCTTATGACTTCTCTCATACATTACTTGGTGTTTGTGCAGTAAATGGGATTCAGTTCTTGCTTGCATCATTGGTTCTGAGAATATATTGCATAGTCTAGGATGTTCTTGAGCGAAAACTTAACTGCCAGTCAACTTTTAAAACTTGGAAGATCGAAGATATCGCAATCAGTCAACTCTTCTCGGTGAAGACACATTTTCCATATGTAGCAAGCAATAACCCATCCTTTGGCTGACAACACAATTCATCTGCTTCCTGAAATTGTGTTTCCAGGATACAGGATAACTAGCATGAAATAGCTGAATTTAGACAAAGGCAAGCATGACACGGAGGGTTTATCGATTTGTTTACAGGGCATCATCATTTGTCTTTCTTACGTCCCAATGTTGCCACAAACTGATGAAGTGATGTCTGAGCGTTAATAGAGTTCAAGATACCTGCAGAATACGCGTGTTCACCTTGTATATAATTACATTTTTTTTTAACAATACTGTAGATGGCCAAGTTATGGCATGAAGCAAGTCTATTCTTCTCTTGGCATGCAAAACAGGATGTGATTTTGCTATATTTTTGAGGGGTATGTTTACAGTCTGCTTGTGTTTGTTGAAACGTGTACATCAGTGTGAGGTTTTAACCATATTTACGCGCTGAGCACTAGTCTGTACGAAAAATGTTCCTTTCTTTTCTCTCTATTTAATGGAGTTAGAAACATTGCAATTATGTCTGATTTGGTTTCCTCCTTCAGAAGATTTCCATTCTTCCCCAAATTAATTCAGAACAAAAGCAAGGAACGAAGTATTTTCGAATTTCGAGTTAAAGGTTAGATAACGGTCTGTTGATGAATAAAATGTCCAGTCACATTCAAATCTTCTATTTCCAATGAGTTTTGACAATTGTTAGGAGGCATTTTTGCCTATAGGTTTTAAATATTTTTTGCTTTATTTGAAATTTATGAAGGTGGAGCTGTGATTGATCATATATGTAAAGGAGAAATACAATTTATGAACATTGAGCTACAAAACAAGTCATGAGCAGCTTTCCAAACTAAAAAAATGAAAAACTATTCTAGAAAAAAAAATGAATACTTCTAGTGTGTTTGGTACGAAGGAAATGTTTTTCAAATTTCTTATGTTTGGTTGGGATAAAATTTTGAATTTTTTTTTAAATCATCTCATTTTCCTCAAAATTAAAGAAAATGACTTTCCTTTAAAATTTTTAAGGAAAACATTTTCCAAAACTCTCTTCCAATTTCAAATGACCTTTTTTTTTTTGGGAAAAACATTAATTTGAAAAAAATAATCAATTTCAAAATTTTATTTTTCATTCGATCCCTGACAGCCCCACCCACGCACCACCGGCCAGCCCCCAACCCCACCCCTCCCCAAAAAATTAATTTTGCTTTTCAAAATATTTTCAACTTCAAATTTTTATTTCTAAACTCATCCCCCCCTCGGCCAGCCCCCCATCCACCCCCAACCCCAACCCCCTAAAAAATTAATTTTGTTTTTTAAAAATACCATCAACTTCAAAAATTTATTTTTTCACTCCTACCCCCTCTCCCTGCCCCATCCACTACCACCACCCCACCCCCTCCACCACCACCACTCTAAAAAAATAATAATTTTTTTAAAAATATTATCAATTTCATAAATTATTTTTTACTACTAGTAAAAATAAAAAATGTCTCTCAAAAACATTTTTCATTCATAAATTAAACACTAAAAAATCATTTCTAGAAAATATTTTTCTAGTTACCAACCAACATGAAAAAATAAGTCTAAAATTTACTTGTTTTCGAGGAAAAATATTTTCTAGGAAAACATTTTCTCCACACCAAACAAACCCCTAAAGTTCAAATGACTTCAAAGAATTCATTAGGTTAGGAAACAAGTTATAATTATTTATCTCAAAATTAATTATCTTATGATTATTATTCCTTTCTTGAGATAAATATAACACTACAATTTCAAAATAAGTTATTTCACGATTTTATCTCTATCAGATATAAGATAAACTCATCTTAACGAACTATATGGTAGTATTGTTTATACAAGATATTTTGTTATTTGAACTTTTATTTCTCTTAGGCATAGATTTTTAAAGATACTCTCCCCATTTCAAATTAATTAAATTTTTGAAGCATTTTTTATTTTTCAAATTTACTTTATTGTTCAATTTTCAAAATTATTTTAAAAATATTCTTTCAAGTTTTAGCCTTTATTAGTTAGTATTGAAATTAGTTATTAATTATTTTAATCATAAATTTAACAATAATTAGTAAAAGTATAAATGAAAAATTATACCTTATTTATGTCTTAAATCTCCATTTCTTAAAAAAGAAATAAATCAATAACTCAATTAATATGAAAGAGTATAATTCTTGACAAACCAATATAAATATTTTGTGAGTATCATATAGTAAAGGGAAGAGGGAAATAGATCGGAGCCAAAACCAAACCAGTGCGCTAAAAATGTTAATTTGAATTTGCAATAGAGCTTCCTATTCTGCAGGCCTTAGAGATGGAAGATAAAGGAGAAGGGGAAACAGATTTCACCGTCATTGAAACAGCCTCAGATACCCTCGATAGCTCTATCAAATTCCATCTTGTTACTGATATCTTAGGTTTCGTCCTCTTTATGCACCAGCAAATCCCTTCGTAAGTATATAATTTATCGCTGTTTTCCTAATTTGATTTTGGTTTATGGTTTTTTTTTTGTTTGCTTGCTTTAACTGATCCTCTTTCTGTTGTTTGTTTGATTGTGCAGCTTACTGCAGGATCTCACTCTTGAATTTGATGAATTGAACACTGAATTTGCGGAATTGGTAAGTGAACACAAGCATTTTTGCTACTGTAATGGGCTATTTTTGACTTTGGGGAACAGATATTGGAGATTTTATCATCTCATATGGCTTATGTACTTTTACAAGTATGCTGTATTATTTTCGAAAATAGTCACAAGGCTTAATGTAAGGTACCTTGCTTTCTATGGAGTGAGATTTTGATATTCAAAGTTCCATATTGAATTTAGGTAAGATGATGTAGTAAATCAAAAACTAAATTAACTTATACTCCTTTGGATCACTTTAACTTGTCCACTTTAGACAAAAACGATGATTCGTATAAGTATTTTACCACAATATCCATATTAATTGACGCGAGTTGTAGTTTTGGACAATAAGTAATTAATGTTGAGAGTAAATAAGAAAAAAATAATTGCCATTTCTTGATATGTTAAAAGTGACAAGCCTATTTTTGAAACATTGGACAAATAAAAATGAACGGAGTGAGTATCTTCTTTTGATAAATCAAAACCAAACTTAACTACTTATTTCAAGTTTTGAAGTATATTATGAACAAATATGGTGTCTGATATGTATGATTAGATACTTTTTGCTTTTCTAAATGAATGTTTAGAACTCTAATTTTGTTTGTGTATAATGTAATTAGGTTTCAGGTTAAAAATGGTAGAAATAAAAGTAGTTAAGGAAAGAGACATGTTACTTGCTTTTGAAACCATTGTTATTTTCTTTAAGCATCCTTTACAGTACTCATATCTTTAGGCTTGGCAGTATGACCTAGTTCTTAATTTTTCTAGGAGACAGCAATTATACAAGCGGAAACATGTTCTTTACGTAGAAATCATGCTTCCAGAAAGAGGGAGGTGAGGATGGGAATAAGGAGACTGGATAAGTTAATGAACACTATATCCAGTCTCAGGACTGCTCTTCAATTAATGATCACAGAATTTCCTGCTATTGAAAGAGTTATTCTGATTCTTGGGTCCAGTCCTCTGCGCCCTCTTAATGTGTATGAACTCAACTTTTCGTGTGAAACGGCAGCTTCTGGAGGAGAATTTACTAGGAATCGAGTTGTGGAAACTCTTTCAAAGAAGGTTCCTTCGTTTGTTTATTTATGTTGCATCTCACATTTCTATATTGATATATCTGTATTTATCTTGTCTGCATGAATTTGGGGTTTCTGTTTTTATTTTACACAGGCCATCCGTGTCTTAGTTTCAAAGGGTGCAGGATCTAGCTCCTCTGTTGGTATTTATTGGAAATTACTATCCATTAGATATATGTTATACATAAAAGGTATAATTTCTGGCCATTCATTGCTAATTCTCATATCCTTTTAGGTCCTACCAAGTTGTTCCTCTTCGTTGAAGCTCCTTCATCAGTCAACTTGCATCTGCATTTTCTTCCAAAAAGGGATTTTAGGTACAGCAAAAAGGTAAATTCCCATAGATTGTCCCTATGATTTCTAAATTATTGGATTTCGGTTCTTCAGATGCATATTCTCCTGGTTAGCATTCTTTATGGCTGTTAAAAAATGTCATTATTAGCTGGTCCAGCTGTGCTAGTCAATCATTATTGTCATCATGCTTCTGTTATATCGATAAGATGAGAATGAAATTTTTTGTAAGCTGATGCTTTACGTAGAAGCTCCTTCCCCTATCTCTCTTTTTTTCATAACTTTCTTTGCCTCGCAATGATTGTGCTGGTTGATTGTTTTTACATCCCTTCTCTTCCTCACTTCATCTTGTTTGTATGCATCTCGCAAAATTTGAATCAGTATCTGGACCAAGATCTGATGTAAATGAGATGATGGACCTTGAAGCTCCTTTTAATTCTAAATGATAAATAATTGTCCTTTGAGAGTCCATCATACTTCTAACTTCACTCTCCAGAACCTTATAATTATGAGCATCACAATATTGATCTATCTTACTTCTGTATATGTTTTGCCTCACAAGCAATTTGCATGTTATGGTGCAGATAGTGCCTTTCAAAGTGCGGTTTAGTTGTCGAACCAAAAATCTTGAAAGAGAAGTGTGTGCTGATGATACTCACCCTACTAAAGCAATCACATCACATAGTTCTAATGTCGATGATGTTATCTGGTACTTCCAATTTTTTAGCTATGATAATTCTGTAACTTTTGTTTGACTATGATGATAAGTGTTTTCTTAGTCTATTCTTCCCATTGACATTGCTAGACAGAAATCTGCCTAGAAAAGTAAAATTCAACCTTTTGCTCAATATGTGTTTTGATAAATCTGGAAAGAGTTTTCTCAACCCTCAGCACTAAGATTTCAGTTTCACTGTTTGCTATGCAGATTGTCATTTGTATTGAAATTTAGTAAACCTTAGAACTTATGATGGCTCTCATTGTGGTTCTAACTAAAATGACAATTAAAATATTATTATTAAATTGAGCACTATTTGATGTAAACCTTCAAGTTGGTGAGAACTTTGTTATAACAATTCACCTTTTTTTTTACCTGCATCACTGGGATGAGATTTGAGTTTTGACCTTTTCCCTCTAGCTAGCTAGTGATAACCAAGGTATACAACAACAACATATCCAGTGGAATCCACATGTAGAGTTTTGGGAGGGTAGAGAGTACGCAGGCCTTACCACTATCTCGTGGAGGTAGAGATTATGTTTTCGAGAGACCCTCAACTCCAGTGTAGCAAATCCACGTACAAAGGAGTAAGAAAACAGTTAGGAACAGACATAGCACATTACAAGAGACGCTGTGCATATGCTGCAAGAAAGGAACAAGAATAACAAAATGGTGCCACAATCAAAATATATAAAAAAACCAACTACAATATTATAGCTAGTAAAGCGACAAACAACTAAACCATCAGAAATCAAGACAGCAGTCCACTGCCTACTAACCTTCTACCCCAATACACACGTCCTCCTCATTCTTCTATATAAGGCCATGTCCTTCGTAACCTGAAGTTGAGCCACTTGTCTAATCAGCTTTCTCTAATACTTTTTTGGTCTACCTCTACCTCTTCTCGTACCTACTATAACTAACCTCTCGCACCTCTTCACTGGGCATCTGCACATCTCCTCTTTACATGTCCAAACCATCTCAATCTCTCTTCCATCATCTTGTCCACTACAGAAAGCCCTCCAACGACTAGCTTAATCATCATCATCATCCTGTCATTAATCCTCCTTACCTCCACCACTTGCTCCCTAAGGTCCGCATCTACTAAGATGCCTACTTCATTCCTATCCCTTAAGCCTCCTGAGTACCACAACTTAAACCCATCCACATTCCGAGCCTTGGTACCTACCCACTTAGTTTTCTGGACACATGCCTTACCACTCCTACCCCTCGCCTTTCTAAATGCCTAGGAGAGACATAGAGGGAGGCTTGTATCTGTCTTGATCAAGCTAATGATTTCACTAGCATAGCACATAAGGTCAAAGAGATGTAATAAGTTTTTTCGCTGTAGACTGACTTTCCTGTTAGCAGTACCACGAGAACGAGGTAGCACTAAAGCTGTACCAATTTTATTTTATGAATCATTATTAAATATTCTTCCTCATGAGATGATATATTGGCTAATGATGCTTTTTGTTGCCATCTTTATTGTTTTGGTTTGAATTAATTTGTGACCCAAATGTTATACGCTGTCTGGCATCCTAGTTTAACCACTAGATGAGGATTAAGCATTCCTTTTTTCCTTTCCTGATTTGTATATAATGTTTGTCATATTGACATTTCCAAACTACTGGGGACCCTTAAAAGCTATGTTGCTCGAACTCTTCAAAAATGTCGACGTTATGTGTCAGATACTCCAAAAGTTCTGCATTTTTGGAGAATCCGACACTGGTATGACAACATTTTTAGAGAGTCTGAGCAACATTGCTTAAAAGTGTCAATATACTTACCAGTTAGATTAGGGCAGCAGGTGCAATGGCCTGTTATATGCGTAGGTATTTCCATGTTATGTTATTTCAACCTCAGGTTTAAGGCAAAAAATAGTGTTGAGATGAAGGATATTACAGAGAATACAGTACTGTATTGTTACATTGGCAAGGTCCACATCTGCTATTCTTAATGATATTAGCTTCAATGACCTGTCAGGTTTCAGTGTCGGCATATTATCAAAGGCTTGGCTTCCAGGGCATCCCCAACTGAAGAGTGAAAGGTTAGCTTCATCGCGCAAGTAGTCTTAACTTGTAGTAGCATAATGTTGATATTGACATCAACCATATACCTTTTCCTTAATTTCCTTTCCTAGATTCGAGTATAGTGATATTGGCCTAGTTTTATGAGTGAATCTAAACTTGTACTAGTGATTGTTTCTGGTGTCGCACCTTCATTTATTGAGTGGTGGGCTCTTCATCAAAATTGTGAAGTTCTTAAGATCTATACATACTGTTCAAATAGAATAGGATTTAACCGTAGTTACTGGTCTTTAGCTCAAATTGTGTATGAAATATATGTATTAGTTATATTACTACTAGCAATTCCCTGATAGTGTCGACATATTTCACAGGTAATGCCACCTATAATTTCACCTTAAAAAGCTAGAAAAATAGGGTTGAAACCGGCGGGTGCCTGTTGTGCTACGGTAAATCTGCACAAATAGGTAGTTGTTAAATTGCTATGTAAGTTTTGTCTCTGCTTATGGAATCTATGTGAAAATGACCTTTTTAAGTTTAATGAAAGAAAATTGAACTAAATTTCCTCCACCTCTCCGTGTATTCTTCAGAAGCTAACATTAATGCACACTTTTGTCCAGAGACCTTTTTAAGTTAGAAAAGTGAAAATGACAGATCCTTCAAGCGAGAAAGGTGCTACGCCGTGGCCTCCTTAAGGTCATTGGGAACTACTTTAACGCTGTTTATTGACCATAGCAACACAATGTTCAGGAGGAGGTAGCAATAGTATTAGCAGGATTTGGCTTGAGCTTCTTTCACCTACTGCATTACTCACTTCTTATTCCTTTTTTTTCTCAGCTTACATGTAGAAAAAAACCCAAAGGGTCGTTTGGTAGAGTGTATTAGAAAAAATAATGCAGCATTAGCCTTGTATATCACTAGTACCTTGTTTGGTACTCTTTTCCAACCTATGTGTAACTAATGCTTGCATTAGTCATACACTCTATAGTGTGTTTGTTGGGAAAGACAAGGCACTAACAGAGAATGCCTGACAGGATAACAGCGGAAGAATACTCAAGTCTATACTTTCCCTTTTCGATTTGAACCAAGAGAAGACAAACAACCATAAGCAATATGA